GACTTTTAATCTTTAGCTATGAATTTTTGCATTTTAGCTATGATCTAACTATTACTAGCAATTTAGCTATGAATTTTTTTAGTTTCCTCAAGTACAAGTGAAGATTAAAGCACCGAGCTTTCTCTCCTTCATTGAGGTGTATTTTTTAATCTTTGAATTTCAATTTTTCAGACTGGGTGATATTACTTCAATTTGCACCCTTCTTGCTTGGCACACCCTTGGTTAAGTGATGATTTCTCTTCCTCCAATCGTCTTGATCGTAACTCTGAGGTAACTTCTTACTTGCTTTTCTAAATTTCAGGTTTTCCTCCTTGATTATCATGTGATGGAGACTTATTTCCCCAAAATAATAATAATATCCGGATTATTTGGTGACTGAAATGATATTAAATTTGTTTTACATGGGTTTTCTTTGTCTTTTTTAAAAAATTATTTACTGATGAATTAGATTATGTACTTCTATTAAGTTTTTCTTATAATTTTGGCTGATTTTGGCTAAATTATAAATTTGAGAGATTTGAGATTTTGAATTTCTGATTTACATAAACATAGAGTTGCAAGTTGTTTATTGCAATTAAAGTTGAAATCGGAATTATAATTGGAGTTCTAGCCTGAATTATGACTATTTCTTGCTTAATTGTGTATTCATGGTGCTCTTTGCTTCATTAAAGAGCTTATGTGTTTATTATTTCCCAAAATCATCTGGAATTTTATGTTGATGCCAGAATGTTAAGAATACAAAATATGGACAGAATTGAAAAAAGATTGATGAACTCTTTCTGTTTTCTCATTTGTGCTGTTATATTAACCATTATGATTGTCCTCTATAAATGTCTTATATCTTTGCATTTATTTATATGTTCTATTTCAATGCTACATCTCTTCTGAGACCAGGACCCTTTATCATTAATTTGGCTTGCATGTTGCATACCTTGTTCTAACACCGTACGAATGGTGTTTCCTACTCAAGATCGAGAAGCTTCTGGTCTAGTAATGTTGGCAAGTCCAAGAAGCAAAAGGGCTTCAGTGTTGTGCACTATTGATTAGTGTTGTGTTCTACTCAATTTATATCATAATCATTTTCAGATAACTCTAGCTGAAAAGCATTTCCTCATAAAATGTAGTTTGTAGAATAAAATTAGGACACCGACTTATAAAAAAGATGTTAGAGCATTGAAGGCGCGACAATGTATGTATTCAAGGTCTACTACTCTTAAGGCTAGTAGGTACTTTGAAATTATCCTAGCCTAAATCTTCTTGTGTCATATGCTATTCTAAATATTTCCCTTTATATTTTGTTTCATTCAAGTGGTTTTGTCCAAATAAGGTTTCATTTTCAGGGTATAGCTGCTTGGAAGGCAGGAGCCACTACTTTCAAGATGGAGGTCTTAATCATACTTAGGCTCTGTACTGGAACAGTAAGGTAAAATATTTGCACCTTTTATGGAGGTCAACCATTCATTATATTGTATAATTTTTTAACTCCAAAGAGGTTTTATTAATTGTAATTGGTTGGTAGGTGAATAGTGATTTTTTTGTACCTAAGCATTTCGTTGCTAGTGGGTCTTGACACCTATTTCCCTGCCAAATGGTTTTAACATAATGAATATACTAGTGTTGAAATACATAGCTTGTGATGTAGCCATTTCTTACCGAAAAAACTGCACTGCATTTGGATCATTATCAGCAATTTTTCAAATGTTTGATTAAATAGTTAATAAGTTTTCTAGGCTTAGAGGCCCGACATGGGTATGATTTTTTCTCAATTTTTTGTCATCGTTAATTGGCTATATACATTGGGCCTAGTCTAATTCTACATGATTGTGAGATTGTGCACATCGATCGCGTGGGTTGCTATTGGCTTTAAACTTGTTTCAATTCATCTGATATGCTACTGTCTGGGAATGTCGAAAGTAATTTTTTTGCAGTTTAACCTTGCATTGTCATGAGCTGTTAAAATCTGAAGTCGTATGCCATGATGATGGCCTTTAACTATGATTTAATCAAATATTTTGCTCCTGTACTCTGCAGGATCAGGGGGAAACTCAAGAGGATGAAAGTGCTAGCTTCAAACACGAAATAAATTGTTCGTGTTGCTTCTAGTTAAGCTGTTCAATCCCAGTTTGTGGACACGAAAATAGTCTTAAAACACCAAAAAAAACAACACTTAGATCAAGGGTTGCAAGGGGGAGATTCAACGCAAAGAAAAATCCAATTAGGAATGGATTTGGATATGATGTAGATGACACAACAACAGATTGGAACACCTGTCGACCAACATCAAGATAGAGTAGCATAACAATCTAAGAGGAAAGTCTATATCAGACTTCCAAACTGAGATTAGGCAAGACTACTACATAAAAAAAAAATACACCAGTATATCATTTCACAGTAAGGAAGGGGAGGAGGTTGAGATTAGAAATGGTGTCCAAACTTAGATAGGGTAGAGTAAGGCAATGGTGTTATGCTGTTGTTACTGATGTCAGTTGCTTATACTGTTGTTTGTTGCTGCTACTACTGTCTGCTGCTGCTATTTTCTACGACTACCAATGTTTGCTGCTACTGCTGTCATCTGGTATTAATGGCTGCTGGTACTGGTTAGCTGTTGTTTTCGCTAGCTAGCTGCGGCTATGTGCTATTATTACTATTGTTTGTTGCATCCGCGCTGATTGTATGTTTGTATAGAAATTGGAGGTCTAAAGAGACTTAAGTTCACTTCTTTTCATTTTGATTATTAGATTGTTTAGCCAATAAAAAAAATTGGTGTTTATGGATGTTTTTTTTTGTAAGAAGTATGAAATAAATTATTTCAATTCAAATTATTTTATTTTATATGTTAATTTCACATTCCTTGTTATACATATTAATATTATTTTTATATTTCAATAATAATAATAATAATAATAATAATAATAATAAATGTTACCTATTAACTAATAAGGTGCTACATTAGTTTGCAAAAAGTGATACATAATGTCAAGTAAAGTGCTACTAATTGTTAAAAGATGATTGAAAAATGTTACCTAATAACCGACAAAGTGTTACATTAGTTCTAAAAAGTGTTACACAATGTCGATTAAAGTGATACCATATGATTAAAAAATGTTACTAAGGATAAATATGTGTTACATAAGAAATAAAAGGTAACACTTTAAAAATGATACTAATAATATAAAAAGTGTTACATAAGAGGGTTTATAGTACCACTTTTGAAAGTGTTACCATACGTTACCCAAAGTGTTACATAACACCTTAGGTAACATGGGCGGAAGTATCACCCAATAAAGTGTTACCTATTGTCTATAGTAACATTTTTACCACTTTATGTAACACTTATTGGGTGTTACTTGAGGCTAGTTTTGTACTAGTGCACGTGTCACTGAGGACCCCACTTAACGGAAATTTTGGATGGAATCCGTTAAGTGGTGGTAACACCAATTTTTTGTTAGTTTGTGTGGTGTTAAAATCAAATTTTTTTTTTTGGAGGTGTTAAAAACCATTTTCGGGTTTTTGTGTGGTGTTAAAATCTAAAATATCCTAAAATTTATGATATTAAACTTAACTAATTTATGGTTTAGAACATGTGAGTACTAAATTAAAACATTTGATTTAATTTAGAACACCTAAGGAAAAGTTTAGAAATCAGATTTAAAATTTAGAACATACGAGTAAAAATTTAGAACATACGAGTAAAAATTTAGAACATAAAAAGTATTCTCACATAAGAAAAATTCTCACATAACAAGGCACTGTTTAAAACTTTTCATGTGCCAAGCAGTTGGCATTTCCTTCGGTTATATTTTAGTTTGCTATATATATGCTTCTTGTAACTTGATGAAAAGAAAGAAGAATGAATCAGTAAAAAGGCAAGCTAGTCATAGCCTTTATATTTTTTCCTCTTATTCTAATATCAAGCAGTAACATTATTTCTTCTTCCCAACAAATCTATGTTACTCAAAAGGATGGGACTTGCAAGATATATTTACTCACACACTTTATAGAGTGATATAAGTATTATTATGTAGCATCTTAATATTTATACTGAGTACCATAAAATAAGTTCTACACAATTAATACAAGTTATCTGTATAACGTACCAAGCAAAGCTTGACTTGGTCTAGTGGAAAAGCCGAAAAGTCTTAAGTCTTTGGAGTTGGAGACTCCCTTACCCTTACCCTTACACCCTTCCTCCCATTCTCAAAGTGCTTATTCGCTAACTCAGATATGAGGATCTCTGAGTTGTTCCAGCCTGATTGCGTAGGGTTCTTCTTATCAACCAACCAAACGTTATCTGTAATTCTATACCATGTGACGTCGGACAAGTGTGTACTACTACATAATAGAACATTTTCTCTATAGCTAGCTCTTACATACTTCTTTTTCTTCTCCCTAATTTATAACTCCATTGGTTTACTTCATTTTAATGGCAGCCTCAAAACCCACAGACACAAAATCTCAAGTGCAATCGGAAGATGAGTTCAAACAAGGTGAAATCGCCCTTCAAAAAGATCAATTGTGGTTTGGTTATCCATTACACTTTTATCAAGGATTTTGGTGCCTAAATATGATTTCAGATATCACAATCTCTTTTCAAACCAACTTTCAAGCTCAAGATACTGATGTTATTTTAGCTAGCCTACCAAAAACAGGTACAACATGGTTAAAATCTCTCCTTTTTAGCATTGTTAATCGAAAAAAATATAGTGATGTTTCTCAACACCCTTTGCACTCTATAACTCCTCATGAACTTATCGACCATCTTGAGTTTGAAGTATACAAAAATTGCCATGGGAATGATCTACCAGACCTAACTAAAATTCCATTACCTCGACTCTTTGCTACCCACATGCCGTATTTACCATTGCCTGAATCAATTAAAACATCAAAATGTCGAATTATTTATGTTTGTCGAAACCCTTTAGACAATTTTGTTTCTTCATGTCATTTTTGGCCTAAACTTGATCTAAATAAAGGCATGAAATTAGATGTGAACATAATGGAGGAACATTTAGACAAGTATTGTAAGGGGATATTCCCATTTGGGCCTTATGAAGATCACTTGTTAGGGTATTGGAAGGAGAGCATGAAAAACTCAAACAAGGTGTTGTTCTTGGAATACGAAGGGTTAAAGAAAGAACCAAAAGATCATTTGAAAAGGTTGGCTGAGTTCGTGGGTTGTCCGTTTTCGAAAGAGGAGGAGAAAGGCAATGTCATAGACGAGATAATAGAGTTATGTAGTATTAAAAGTTTGAAAGAAATGGAGATAAATAAAAGAGGCAAGTATTATGAATGGTTTGAGAATAAGGCCTTGTTTAGGAAAGGAGAGGTTGGAGATTGGTCCAATTATTTGACTCCTTCAATGGCTAAGCGTATTGAAGAAATGCAAGAGAGGCTTAAGGAGGCTGGTTTTTCTTTTACATACTATAATCATTTGAAAGCGAAGGATAGCTCATTTGGTTAAAGTTTTCTCCCGATGCCTAAGAATGTTGACTGGTGTTTGTTTTACATTCTATAATAAATTGAAAGCGAAGGATGGTTCATTTGGTTAAAGTTTTCCTCCTAGTGCCAAAGAATACTGAGATCAAGGTCGTCCAAGTGGGTAAATAATTATGAGTTTTTGAATGTAAAATAAAACTTGTGTAGTAAGTAACAAGGATTTGAGCCAAATAAAGAGGTGTCTAAATAGAAATTTCCATTCATTGTTTCTCGTTTTTAGTGTATTTGTATTGTTGTTCTAAATATAATAGCGTCTGCCCTTCTAGGCTTTCTATTTTTACGGCATTGAAGTTTATTGTACTGTTATTGTTTTCTAATGTTGCTTTTGTTTGTAATTTTGCATTATTTTCAATGTATATATCAATGTTTATTGGTATGTACTAGTAGTCTAGTATTATTATGTGTTCACTATAATAAGAAGAATAATTTTGCAACAAATTTTTTGCGACAAAGATTTTTTTTTCTATATATAAAATTAGCAACAAAAATATTTTGGTCATTACCAAAGCCTATAATATGTATCATAATACTTCATATCATATACATACTTATTAGTATTGACGGTTTGGTTTGGCCGCCAATGATAGTGTTAGTTATTTTGGGACAGAGGGGTACGGGGTAAAATGGCAATATAACTATATAAGGGCATGTTCTCATACGTTGAAATTCAGTTCAGTTTAGCTCCTAATTTCCTTCTCTTATAAAATATTCATTTCAGTTCAGTTCAGTTCAGTTTAGCTCAGTTCAGCTGAGTTCAGTCACGAGAATAGGCCCTAAGGTAAAGTCAAATCCATGCATGTGAAGGATTATTTACCAAATTCGGGTCTCAAGTGCAAACATGATTTGATGCATAATGCCGTCTTTGTCATAGAAATAACGGGGCCTAAGTTCTTAATAATAGCACTGAATTATTTTTGAGGGAAAAAAAATAATAGCACTGAATTTTAATAATGCCCAGTCTTTATCATAAATGTAATAAATTTAGGGGTCATTTGGTTAAGATAGGGTAAACGGAATGGAATCAAGAAAGGGATTGAGGGGGAAAGGGATTGAGGGGGAAAGGAAATGATACCCTTTGATGTAATATGTTGTTTGGGTTACATAATCAATAAGTTACGGATCTTCCACCACCTTCTCCAAAAACTTCTCCCTCATATTAATGGAGCACCACCCACTCCATCCCGACTGTCGCTTTTGGATCCCTTCCATTGTCACTGTCACCTTCACGCCGTTGTCTCTCTTAGGCCCCACAACCGAAATTTTCTCTCTCATCTAATTCTAGGTTTTAAAGGTCAAATTCACCCTTAAAACTCTAGATCTGGAGTTTTTATTGGTGTATTTGACCATCTATAGCCATATTTGATGATAGAAAAAGGTAATTTTTTCACTTATATTATTTTAATTTTAAAATTAGTAGTAATTGGGAGGTTGTATGTGGTTTTTTTCTGGTGGTGGTGGGGCTTCGGGGTGGTTGTGGTGGTTTTGATTAATGGTTGTGGTGGTATCATGGTAATTTCAAAGTGGTTTCGTGGAGCGGTGGAGTTTTAGGGGCGTTTGAAGGTGGGGTCGTCGGTGGTGGTGACGGCTACGGTGGGGACGGTTCACGGTTGGCAGTGGGAGGTTGTTGGTAGACCAAGTCAGGTGGTGAAAGTTGGTTATGGTTGTTGGGTGTAGAGGATTTTGGGGTAATGGATGATTCCCTTGGAGGGGGTGGGGAATGATGATGGAAGAAAATTGGGTAATCAAAGGGGAAAGGGAATGATTAAATTAGACAAACAAACAACATTAAAGGGAATCATGGTAGTTGATTCCCATTCCGTTTCTTAAAACCCCCCAACCAAACGCCCCCTTAAGAGTTTAATAATTAAGTCTACATCAATTGAGATTTGAGAGTGTATTATCCCCTGTGAAGGATCTATCATCCTCATTCCTCAGGTCTCAAGTGGAATAATAATGGCAAATTTCAGGTGTGCAAAATGACATGTAATAATTGTATGGGTTTTCCACTCGTGAAAAATGTTGATGTAATATTAAAAAACACCAAAAAAAATTTTAAAAGTTGCTTTTTACTATCTACCGTCAAGATAATCATTAAATCTAAAAGTTTGAAGCGTAAAACATGTTCTTCACAAGTTTAGGGGGGCATTTTGATTCCTTGGATCCAATTTGAGATCAAAATTGACAAAAAAAAATGATTGAAAACACCTCTTTTGCGTGTTTTACGCAAATAGAGGTGTTTTAAGTGGGAAAAAAGAGCCATTTATGATCAATTTTTGTCAATTCTGACCTTAAATTGGAATCTAAAGGCAAAAATGCTTCCAAACCCCCTAAATACCTCGTGTTTGGCACGAAAATCAAATCATTTTAAAAAAAATTATGTTAGGTTTACCGTTTTTTTGACAGTAGGTAGTAAAAACCTTTTTTTTTTTTTTTTTTTTTTTTTTTTTTTTGTGGTAAACTAAAACTTCAAACAATACCGGTTTGTTATATGTGTGGCCATAAAATGCTTACAAAAACCCACATTCTTTACACTTAGGTCAATAACGACTTTTGGATTTATTTGTTTCCTCCGTTATTTTACAAGTGAATAACTTTTTACTTTATTTACAAGATAATAAATTAGATTGTTTAACGTGTGTGGTTTTTTTAAAAAAAAAAAAAAATTCTTGGTCAATAAATATATATATATATATATATATATATATATATATATATATATATATATATATATATATATATATATATATATATATATATATATCATTGTCAATTTACTCATTTTAGTGTATGTATTTAAGATATTTTTTCTTCAAATTTGTATATATGATGTTGAAGTTTGTAGTAGAGATATTATATACTTCTTATATCTCTTGATATCTTGAATAATAATAGATGATATCATAATTTTCAAATTTTCAAGATATATATTACAACTCTAATAGTCTGATCATAGTTTTATTACTTTTCCATTTGGAAAGTAAATAGCTTTGTTGTCCACATATTTTGCGTGAATGAAGAAGACATGGGGGTGATAAGTGTCTGTGAGGTAATGATGTTGGGTTTGCTTAACCTCATTCATCCAAGTAATTATAAGAAAAATGAAAATAGAGATTGTTCAAACGAAGTATTATTTACGAGATGATAACAACAATATGATAGATGCTTGAAAAAAAAAAAGACAAAGATGATCGAAAATGAATTTTGGAATGTTTTGTATTTCCATGTGGTTCCGATGAAGATCATATGCTTAGGTATCGGATTGAGAGCCTACAAAGTCCCAAAAAGGTTTTTTTATGTAATTGGAATACCAAACTCTCTCCAAAAGGAATTATTGGCATTCAAAAGGCTTTGGAATCTGATCCCACAAATGGATTCCTTCAAAAACTAGATGAGAAGCCCTCTCTGGACATCTCTTACCTGTATGCCCAGGAGGAAGCCATCTGGGCTATAAGATCCAGATTAAACTAGGCTACCTCAGGTTACAGAAACATCGGTTTCTTCCACACTTCCGTCATCATCAGAATGAGAAGAAACATGATTGAAAACATGAGAAATGATGTTGGTGAGCAAATCCTGCCACACCAACTCCATAGCCACATTAATATCTATTTCTCTCAACTTTTCTCTTTTGAAGCTAGTCACTTTGACTCTCAACCCTATGCATATGGGAATGAGATACAGATTTCCCAGCTCCCTTTCCTATATGAAACTCACTATGCTGTGTTCTGTTTGGGAATACTCAAGGCCCTTGGAATTAATGGTTTAGACCCCCTCTTCTTCCAGAAACATTGGGGTCTAATTTGGAAGGACATTTAGGATTTTTTTGAATCCTATCCTACTTCTCTAATCTTTGTGTCCCCCCCTGAAATCATCAGCCTCATTCCTAAAGTGGAGCATCATGAAACTATTAAGCAGTATAGGCCCATCAGCCTTTGTAGCACTGTTTACAAAATCATCTCCAAGATTCTGGTAAACAGAATTAAACCTCACCTCAACTCTCTGATCTCCTTAAATCAGAGCAGTTTTATTCCAAGAGGGTGTGAGAATAATTTTATTGCTGCTAGTGAGATCTTACACTCAATGAAGAGAAAATCTGGGAAAAGGATGATAGACTTTAATGGCCATTTATAAGGTCTTGTCTTTAATAAGCCTTCTGTTGATATGATTATGAGTGCAATATCTTCCCCATCCTTCCATGTGATAGTAAATGGCGAACCAACTCCTTCTTTTAATGCTACCAGGGGCATAAGGCAAGGGGACCCCCTCTCCACTTATATCTTCATCATATGCATGGAATATTTATCTTCCATGATTGCTGAAGCCTGTGATTCTGGAGATTGGATTCATTTCTCCTTTAGGAAAAATTCCTCAGCCATCTCTCATCTCATGTTTGCAAATGATTTAATCCTTTTTGGAGAAGCTTCTTGCCAAACCCTCAATTCTCTATCTCGCACCCTTAATGTTTTTTTTTCCCTTTGTGGCCAAAAAATGAATCCTTCTAAGAGTCAATTGTACTAATCTAAGAATTCCCAACCTTATATCATTAACTTCTTTTCTTCCTCCCTCCATATTCCTATCACAAATGCTTTGGACACTTAGGGCCTGTTCTCATTGACTGAACTCAGTTGAACTGAACTAAACTGAACTGAACTGAACTGAATTGAGCTGAACTGAACTGAACTGAATTGAGCTGAACTGAACTAAACTGAACTGAACTGAACTGAGCTGAACTGAACTAAACTGAACTGAACTGAGCTGAACTGAACTGAACTGAACTAAACTGAGCTGAACTGAATTGAACTGAACTGAAATGAATATTTTATAAGAGAAGGAAATTAGGAGCTGAGCTGAACTGAACTGAACTGAACTGAACTGAACTGACCTGAACTGAGCTGAGCTGAACTGAACTGAACTGAACTGAACTGAACTGAACTAAACTAAACTAAACTGAGCTGAACTGAACTGAACTAAACTAAACTGAACTGAACTGAACTAAACTAAACTAAACTGAGCTGAACTAAAATGAACTGAACTGAACTGAATTTCAACGTAAGAGAACAGACCCTTACTTAGGATTCCCTTTAACTGATAAAAGACCCTCACCTTCTCAAGTTGGCCACATTATCAGAAAAATGAAATTAAAACATGCTTCTTGGAAGGCCAGATGCCTTTCAAAGGATGGCAGGGCAATTCTCATAAAATCCACCCTTCTTTCAATTCCCAAATACTCTATAAATGTCATAAACCTTCCTGGGAAAGTTCAGTAGGAGATTGACCAAACTATAACAGGTTCTTCTAAGGAGTTGACCAAGATAGGAGGAAAGCTTCCCTCATAGCATGGACTTCTCTCTGCTGCC